CCCCGCATCCAACCTCATCCACCTCACCTTAAACATACCGCCCACATAAACATATACAAACACATACACATACATAATATATTATGACAAAACCCCGCCCAAAACACACACGACCTCCCACCACCCCGCCCGCCCCCTCCCCCACAATAAATCAGCAACAACAAAACAAAAACAAAAACAAAAACAAAAACACACATATACGATAAGTGCCAAGTGATCTATTATGCTATTTTTGTTGCTGCATTTGACGAGCTCCCACACCAACTCCACTCTCCTTTCTAAGAAGGAATTGAATAAAATAGGCCTGGTTTCTCCTGTGTGTACAGCAAGAGGAACACATGAACACAATAACAGCAGCTTGGTGCTCGTAACAAGCAAAAAAATCAACCAGAAACAAACGGACGAAAAAAGAAAGAAGTAGGACCTACAAGTAATACACTCCAATGGTCAGCAAATGCAACTGAATGTTGAGCTGAATGAAAACAACCATTGGCGACTAATTAAAAAATAGTATACAAAAAACACTGATGTAGAACTGATTTAATCAGCCGACCCCCTCTTTTTCTAACCCACCCTTTTTTACACCCACTCTTTCTACAGCGCACCCCTCCCCCTTTTTTTTTCAAAAGCAAAGAAAGAATACAAGTCATATTTTCTACCACCCCTCTCCTCTGTCCTTCTATCCTCATCCCAAAAATTAGGAAGAAAATGAACCAATGTTGAATTAAATTTATTGAATGAAACTTTAAAGAATTTTTTTTTTTAAAACGTGATTGATTAAATAAATCGGGCTTTTTTCAATCACACAGAAACATAAAGATACGAATCAAACTCACCTAGGGAATGCACGATATTGTGCAACTGCGGCACCCGGTCAGAGAGAGCGGGCAGGTAGAGGGCGGAGGCTGTCATCACAAAGCACACGAGAGCTAGGCACCAAGTTTGCAGAAACGCCCTGAGCATAGCTGGAAGAGAGAGGGTAATGTAGGGATGGTTACACAGAGGAGTCAACAATAATGTTGTTGAATGTATATAAAGTTTTACACCTTTATCACACTGGATCACCCATGTGTCCGAAGCACCGTGAGCATAGCTAGTTCAAACATAGAAAGAAGGATATATAATAGATTTACTGACGATTTAAGCACCCTCCCTTTTTACCCCGTCCCTCTGTCGTGGTGTGCCTCTCTCTATCGTTCTCTCTCTCTCTGTCTCTCTCCCTGTCTCTCTCTCTCTTTATTTCTCTAGCTCTCTGTCTGTCTGTCTGTCTGTCTGTCTGTCTGTCTGTCTGTCTGTCTGTCTGTCTGTCTCTCTCCTCTCTCTCTTTCTCTCTCTCCCCCTCTCTCTCTCTCTCTCTCTCCTCTCTCTCTCTCTTCCCTCTCTCCTTTCCCCTCCTGCTCTCATTCTCTCTTCACTCTTTCCCTACACATTCTCCAAAAAACACATAAGACTTATAAGGGATATACAGAGGAGCCACCGATTATATTTTTTTTATGCCCCCGCCGACGATATTAAGATCTTTAAGATTCGGTCTGCTTTGACCAAGAGTGTCAGCGCAAACTTTTCTGTGTGAAATACGACCACATCCCTACAGACAGAGGTACAATGTGCTCGATAAAAAGACTTCCCTGCACCGGATACGAAACTACGTCCTCGTGCAAAGGTGGAAATCCTAACCACTGCACCAAAAACGCTGTTACACAGCCGATACCGATATAAGCTACTGCACAGACTGGTCAACAAAAATAAAAGTTCTATTTCATCATTCCGCAAAACATAATAATAAGAAGTCATATTATTTTCTTCCTGTCTCAATTTAGACGTTTTGGTGGCCGGCGATTTTTATCTTCACGGAGATGTAAGGAGACGTACACGTGTGAGTGAGTGTTCCTAGGTGTGTATGTAAGTGTTCGTTTGTGTGTATGCGTATATGTGAGTGTATTTGTGTGCGTGTGTGTGTGTGTGTGTGTGTGTGTGTGTGTG